ATCTCGCCATGTCTTGCCATGCTTTCTGCAAATGTTCCCTAGTTGACTTCTGCTACAAGTCTTGTCCACGTCTAATCCACTCTCCACACTGAGGTCCACATAATATTTCTAAAATGCACATCTGATTGTGCCACTCTCTTGCTTTGATTCTTAAAAGACTCCTTCTAGCCTTCAGGAGCACAAAAGCTCCTTTCAGATGGGGCCACTCCCTTCCATTCTTTCTACAGTACTAAAGACTCTAACCATACCAAAGTATTTGAGTTTTCAGAAAACATCATGCTGTCCCTTGATTCCTGGCATTTGCACATGCTGTTTCCATTGAAGATTCCCCTTTCCCCATCCCACTCTTCTCTTGCCAACTCCTATTCATCCTTGAGGACTTGCTCAGCTATCACTGCCTCTAACACTTCTTCCTGCTCTTACTGTAGTCACAATACCCCAAAGAATCACATCACTTCCCCTGAGAATTTCTTATTTAGCCATCTACCTCCCCAACTAACAACAAGCTCCCTCTGCTACATGATAAGTACTCCATACATGTGTTGAATAATTTAACCCAGTTGATAGATTATATTATTTATTCCCAATGATTTGTTTCCTCTCCATCCTTGCATTTGTCCCTGTAGGCGGAGTATACTTACCACCCCACAGACTATAAACTCGACCACATGACTTGCTTTGGTCAATGGATTGTAAGCAGATGTACCACAGATATGGCCAAGCAGAAGCTTTGAAGACATTTGTATGGTTTAGCTCTGCCCTTGCCCTGACCCTCTTGAGCATTTGCCCTCCACTGTGAGAACAAAATGCTCAGATAGTGGCTGCTCCTTCATCCTGGGTCTTGGAGTAAGAAGACAATTGGAATTGAGCCAAATCCACCAAACCTAGCCAATCCATAGCTACCCACAGCTGACTGCAGCTCTCATATAATATGAGCAAGAACTAAGTGTATGCTGTGAGCTACTGAGATTTGGGGGCTGCTTGTTCCTGCATCAAAATACTGGCAAATACATCTAGTTTGGGCTCACAATAAGTATTGAGGGCCTACTGTGTCCCAAATATTGTGCTAGAAGTTTTACACAATTTCATTTTAATTATCACAACAACCCTATAGGGTAGGTTAGCTTTCCATTTTAAAGCCAAAAAAAAAAAAAAAAGAAAAAATCCTAAGCTGGCATTCAAATCCAGGTTAGCTGGAGCCTCCCCACCCTCCCCACACTGCCTCCTGGTGATCCAAGGGCACGGAAAGGGTGATGATAGTGATGAGACAGAGTGTCAGATGAATGTGAGGGCCTTACTTCTAATTCAGCACCACTTTCAGCCTGTAGAACTTTCAGGTTCTACACGCTGAAGGAGAACAGAGAAAGCAGCAGGTTTTTCTGAGTTCTTCCTTGTTCCTTGGCCTGTAAAGAACGCTAATCATCCAAAACACCTTCTTTCATTTTCAGAGAGCCAAAAACTATCTTGAAGACTGAGACTTTAAGCATGCATATGCTGTAGCTACATCCTGTGTGGCTCCTGAGAGCACAGCAGCAGCCCCTAGTACCAGATGGACTCTGATGTGCCATCAGTTTCTACTCTGTCACTGGGGCACATCCTCTGCTCTCGTGTGCCTCGCTGGAGTACTCTTCATTCACTCCTTTCCCACTGGATCTGAGGATTTCATTATGAAAAGCTAACTGTCATTCTTTCTCGCTTTTCTATGAACTCCACGCTTTTCTATGAACTCTCAATGTCCAATACCCCGTAATAGACACCATATATGTTCACCTAAATCAGAAGTTATAGTTTGATCTACCTTAACCAGAAAAGAATGTTTTCCTGAATTCTTCAGGTACTTAAAACAACCAACTCATATTAAGGCAGTGACATTATTTCTTATTCTTTTAACCAGTATGATATCATGGGCTTGGACAAATCATTTATTTCTTCTGAGCCTTGGTCTTCTTAAGTATATGTAGGTAATACCAGCCTTATTTACTTAGCAAGATCAAATGGGATGATGTATATGAAAGACATTTAACACATAGAAAAGCATCACAGCATTTAAATAAGCGAGAACAACAACAACAACAACAACATCACACATTTCTTTATACTCCTGACTGGGAAAAAGAAGGCAAAGGAGTTAAAATAGTTGGAAGGGGTGAAGAGGTGAAAGAGTCCTAGAGCAAAAATTTGGGACTAGAAGGGACATTCTAGGCCCAGGTAGGTTGGAGTAGGATTCATCCTATGTGGTCCAAAGTACTTGACTCACATTACCACTTCTCAATATGAGCACATTTAATTGTTCAGAATGGAACCTATCCTATCCAGCAAGTACTGGATTCTACACCATTTGTTCTTCTGAAAATTCTAGCAAGAGCTCTTCCTTTTAGCTGGTGTTTTTCATTCTAATCATTAATGGTCTGGGAAAGTATGAAAAAAAGAAACTGGGTCTCCCTGTTGGCTCCTCCTGTGTGAATTATAAAAGGAATAGCGTACCTGTCACTCTAGCTTTCATTTGCAACTTATCAAATTTTAAGGGGGAAAATTTCAGAACCCTAGAATCTTAGAGATGAAGTAACTTGCTCAATATTTAACACTAAGATCCAAACCCATGGTTATATAGTGATCTATGGAGGAGCTAGAATTAGAACCCAAACCCCAGCTCCCAGGTCAAGGCTCTTTCCACTAACCGTGTCCTGGTACTAATACTACTCACACTGAACTAAGCACTAGGTACTTGCACTAAGACTACTCGTACTGATACTCAAGTCCATATAAACTAGCCACCCAGAAGACTCATGTGTAAAATGTAAAGAGTGAGGAGGATACTGAAACAACTTCCCTCTCCTAGTCCAGAGAGAAGCATCCAGGCTTGGGGATGATGCAGAGTTGGGAGAGCTGTGCTAAAATGATGAAAGAAGATGAATGAGGTAAGTTCCATAGAGAAAAGTAGAACAGAGGAGGAAGAGAAATTGGAAGCTATGCAGGACAGGAAAGGAGATAACGAAAGTTGAGGTGTCAGCAGTCTCTAAAAGCGATTCTTCTTTCTCCAGGGCTAATAACATTTTAACTCTCTAAATCCAAGCCTATTCTTCACAGTCACCAGGTGTCTACCTGAACATGAAGCCAGACCAAGTAATGATCACTCCCTGATACCTCCCTTCCCACTGCAGGCTGGGCTGGGGCTGCTTCAAGGCACTCCATCGTGCAGATCTTTATCACTGCTTTGGCACAATGCTACTCCATAACTGGTGTCTCTACCACCAGACTGAGTGCCTTAAAGGCAAGAGCTGTGACTTCCTCGTCTTATTAACCCCAGCACAATGTCTGGGACATAGGAGCAACTCACTCACTGACGATTCATGAACAAATGTCTTTACTCAGCTATCACCTTTTCTGGGAATTTGTTTCAGAGCTGCTGCACCACTCCTGGTTTGGATTGTGCGTGCTTCCGCCATGCTCTCACAGCACAGGTGTGGCTCTCATCAAAGGACCTTTAACCTCCCTAACAAAATGACTGGAAAACTTGGTTTTTGGTTTTTGTTTTGAGACAGGGTCTCACTCTGTCACCCACGCTGGAGTACAGTGGCACAGTCTCAGCTCACTGCAGCCTCTATTTCCTGGGCTCAAGCAGTCCTCCCACTCAGTTCTCGCCCTGGTAGCTGGGACTCCCCCTGGGTAGCTGGGACTACAGGCACAAGCCACCGTTCCTGGTTAATTTTTTTTTGTATTTTTTGTAGAGATGAGGTTTCACCATGTTTCCCAGGCTGGTTTTAAACTCCTGGGCTCAAGAGGTCCACCTGCTTCAGCTTCCCAAAGTGCTGGGTTCACAGGCATGAACAACTGCACCTGGCTGAAAACTTATTTGAATCACTGACTAGATTGACAACACTTTGAGGACAAGAACGATGTCTTTTAGTGCCTTATTCTCAGCACTTATTATAATACTTAGAAATCACAAGAATTTAATCTGTGCTTGTAGAATAGACAAATAAATGAAACCAAAATAGATGCTAATCCAGGGCCGGGCATGGTGGCTCACACCTGTAATCCCAGTACTTTGGAAGGCCAAAGTGGGCATATCACCTGGGGTTGGGAGTTTGAGACCCACTTAGCCAACATGGTAACCCCAATCTCTACTAAAAATACAAAAATTAGCCGGTGTAGTGGCGCATGCCTGTAATCCCAGCTACTTGGGAGGCTGAGACACAAGGATTGCTCGAACCCAAAAGGCAGAGGTTGCAGTGAGCTGAGATAGTGCCACTGCACTCTGGCCTGGGTGATAGAGCGAGACTCTGTCTCAAAAAAAGAAAAAAAAAAAGAAAAGAAAAAAAAGAAATGAGAATCCATCACACACAATCCTTATCACAGAGATAGCAAAGGAGCCTCCAGGAAAACATATCACTTGCTCCGGGAGTGGGTTCCCAGAGTGTCGACACAGCTCCAGCGTTTCTCACAGCCTCTGCTGCCAGGAAAGGATGAAACACCACCCATATTCAGGAACAAAGACAGAGTGAACCCTCCTTCAAGTCTTATTGCTATATGGCACCTGTTGCTAAAATAGCAGCTGGTAAGCATTTTGTTTTGTTCAAAACAACAACAACAACAACAACAGCAACAATAACAAGATCAATATATTATGGGAAGCAACATCACAATGGCAATAAGAAACCATGAGGCTAAATATGTAACAGGAAGAAATACGGAATTTTAGTAATGAAAGACAAGGAAGGAGCTGCTAGAGCCTGGAGGAAAAAAAAAACTGAAGTGTTGATTAGAAATTGCTCAGCCTGCATTAAAAAAGAGAAACAGGAGGAGAGGGGAGGGGAGGAGAAATAGAGAGGGTGGGGAGAGAGATGGTGGGGAGAGAAAGGGAGGGAGAAGGAGAATAAATGTGGTTTTTTTTCCTGGTTCTCTGTCTCATTTTTTAATCTGTCCTTCCCTGTCTCCCTTCCTTTCTACCACCCCCTCAAGAGAGAATTCATTGATTGGGCTGGACTAAAATTTCTCACCTTTTCTCGCATGGTTCTCTGTGAAGAATGAGTCTGAATTCATCTCCTCCTTGTCTGCTTCTGTCTCCTCCCTCCCCTCCCCAGCCGCCATTGTTTGCTCCTCTACTTGCTCAGGCTGAGAGGCAGCTTGTCTGTCCACACCTCTGACAGCAGTGATGGGATGAGGGGAAAGCAGGAGCTGGGGGCAGAGGATGATCAATGGGATCCCAGGAGTCAGTCTCACTTTCAGAGCAAAGAATCCCCAGCCATCTGACAGCTGAGCTGGCCTTGATAACTAACCTGTTGCCTGATTCCAAGCAGAACAGCCTTTCCAGGTGCAGGTGGCAGAAGGCACAGATAAAGCATCACCTCCCTCAAAACAAAAATAAAACACAAAGTCCTCCAGCAAAAAGCCCAGAGGGGCAGCTTGGGAGAGGGCGAATGAGACTGGCCTGGGGTTTGGGAGAACTGGGATCTAGTCCCTAATCAATCATGATCGTGCTACGTGCATATTGCCTCTCTAGGACTCCATCTCTATAAACTGAGATCGCTGAACTACAGTTCCTGTGGTACCCTGCAGTGATATGATTCCATTTCATAAAAAGCTGTGAGCCATCTAAAGAGAGCTGTTTCCCTTCTTCTCTCACTCCCTGCAAACCCCCAGAGTACTTATTTTAGGCAGACCCCAGGGTGTCTGTAAGAGCACCTCTAACTGAGGGACTCCTCCCCAGATGCCTGGCTGACTTCAGGGAGATGGTGATACAGGCTCAAGGACTAAGTACTCGAGAATAGAGGCAGGTTAAGGATCTGAAGAATCAGGGAGGGTGGGAGTGGAAGGCACTGGGAGGCCAGGGGAGCTGGGAGGCATGGATCAGCCAAACCCTGAAATTAGAGATGATTCATATTTGAATAATGTGGGAGGGATGAACTCAAAGCAGCCAAAAGAAGAGGCTAACTCTGCTGAGGGTGCCTCCCCCAGCCTAAACTCAGCAGTAGGGCAAGGGCAATATTAGGGACATTTCATTTGAAATGGGAAAAATATTTAGGCAATCAAGAATCTTATTCTGAAGCTAAGGGAAATGGGGTATTTGCCTTTTCTTGCTAAATGTGTTTTACCCTCTTTCCATGACTTGTTTTAGCTATTTTAAGCTTGTTCCCCTTTGCCTGGTGCCTTGATTTTGTCCAGATCGTCTGGTTGGTGACCCTAAAGGAGACAAACTTCTCATGTGGTGCTATTTTCCCCTTTTCTCTCCTGCCTTCCACTCCATCCCGTCCTCACCCTTCTGACCCCTTGTTCTGTTTCTTCCATCATTCTGCCTCCACCTTGATTTGAATGGTTGCCTCTGACCCAGTCCAAGCTATCCAGACCTTCCTCACTCCCATCCCACTCCCCTCAGCAGGGCTGCTTTGAGAATCTCTCAGGGCTGGCCACCCAAGGCCCCATATTCCTTAACCACAGGGAATCGGAATCCTCCTGTGGGGAAATGGGTTAAGAACAAGAGCATCTCCTGACCCCAGGAGAATGGGAAGAAAGTTCACCAAAAAGGAGGGAGGACACAGAAGACTCAGCTAGACCAGTGATTCTGGTGCTGGGGAGAAGCCCAATGCCTCTCAATCTCTCTGCCAATTATCTTTTAGGTAGTGGGGAGTGCACCTATTAGAAAGGCTCTTCTGCTTTCTAATTATCATTTGGGACCACTCCCCAAGTGATACCAAGTGACAGAGAGCAGGCCCTAAAGTCCACAATCAGTTAAGGTTCTATCCCCATCTCCTTCCCAACCTCCAGTTCCTTGCACCCTCCAGAGAGCCACAGAGAGAATGCCCGGATACTCCTCCTTCTCTAGGGAAGAAATTAAGGAGATAGTCCTCCAGCCTCCACCTCCAGAAAACCAGTTCACTTAATTCATCAGCTCTCTCTGAGCTTCTTTTATTCCAGCCAGGCTTTTCCCAGGACTCACAGCATTACAACTCAGGATAAGACCGAAGAACCGTTTCATGAAGGGGAAATGCACATTCGAAAGAACAACCTCAGCGCCAATGAGTCAAACACCTGCATCTAGATGCGTCTCACTTGTCATTGGGCTTCTCCCCTGCCGCCCCCATCATTCACACACACACACACACACACACACACACACACACACACACACCCCTCCCCCACTTTCCACCAGACTGATAAGCAGCTTTAAACATGGTCAGTAAGGAGGAAAATGGGGGTGGGGTGAGAACAGAACCACTACAGGCATATACAAAGTTCTTCGTTTCTGAAGAAAAGGACTCTTACCTGTTAGCCAGAAAAGAGCAATCCACCTCAGCAAGACCCTGTCCATCTTCCCCAACTTCCCATCCGGATTACGGAGTGAGGAAAGTGGGAAACGGCTGGAACAGAAGAATCGCGGTCACCCCGCGGCAGCGCAGCGGCGGGCACCGGGCGTCCCTGGGCGCAGCGCCCGCCGGGCCGGGCGCGCAGGCGGGGCCGGGGGCTGGATCGCGCCGCCGGCGGAGCGCGCGCTGCCGCGGGCTTCCGGGGTCCGCGCGGCGCTCGGCTGCGCCTCCGCACGCGCAGGCAGCGCTGCGCGGGGCGAGCGTCTCTCCGCCGCAGAGCCCGCCGCGCGGGGGAGCTCCGCCGCCGCGCCGCCTCCCGCGCCTCCGCCCCGCAGCCCGCTGCCCCGGCTGCCAAAGTTTCTCGGTCACGTGCCGGACCCCGGCGCCCCGGAGGTCAGCGCAGAGTGACCGAGGCCACGCGGGGAGAGGGGTCCGCAGTGGGGCAGCCAGCCAGAGGCGCGGGAGAGGCCGCCCCGCGGGCCGCGCTGAGCGGGGAGCGACCATCGCGGCTTCTCCCAGGGACGCCCGCGCTCGGGAACCCCGGCGAGAACGCGGGTTGGGGACTCCAACAAGGGGTGCCTGTGTCTGCGGGCCGCCACAGCCAACCTGAACCGAGAGAGAACGACAGCGGCGAGGGTGGGGGACGGCGGGGACTTGGCGTTAACTTCTTACGGGACTTAACTAGCAGGTACTCTAGGCTAGACCGTTCGCTTCTGCGGTACCCCCACCCCTTCGTCTGGTTTCCTTTTTGACAGTGCAAGGAACCAGGCAAGAGGCTCCGCAGAATTGAAAAAGGTAGGCGGGACTCTCACGTCATTACTTTTTCCTGTTAAAATATGAGGTAGAATAAGGGCATTCAGCCCTTTAACAGAAAATATGTAAAACCAGAATGAGATAAATAATTATGACAGCTTAATTCCATCCAACACTTTATAGTTGGCAGCACGCATTCACATGGATTATTTCTAATTTTCAGACGGATTTGTCTTGGGTCTCAAAATGTATGTGTTGAGAGAGAACTGAGAAATGTATGATTTGCATAAGAAATATATGTGAAGCCTCTACTAGGTGCTAAGAACCAAGGCTACAAGTGGAATGAGATAGACTTCCTGTCCTTAGGAGTCTCATCTTAGGTCCAGGAAAGGGAGGAAGGTCAGACCATTGAAGACATGATACTTATTGGTAGTAAAACGGGGCAAGGGCAATAATGGAGACATAGAGAAAGTGCCTTGGGAACATAGAGGAAGGGGTTAGTCGTGGGTGGGGAGGGGGCACCACGATAAAGTAGAGGTAACATCTAAGTTGGCATTTGCAGAAATGGCAAGATTTGCGCCGTTCAAGGGTTCCTGGTGGAAAGGGAGCAGGTGGGGGCATTCTGGGCAGAGACAAGGCAGAAAGGTCTCAAGTGGCATCTGAAAACAGAGTAATGCCAGGCTGGAGGGTAGTTCCTGGAACAGACAAGACTACACCTAAGAGTGAATGTGTATGCAGACAGGGAGGATATGTGAACATGTGAGAAATGATAAGAGTAGACCCTGGACAGCCGTCTTTTATGGCTGCTTGACATTTGAATTCCCTTCTTATTTTGAGGAATTCCAACTGCAGAAGCCAGAAAGTCTAGAGCCACCTCCCTGACCATCCCAGCTGAAGTGCAGACCCAGGCCCCTGGCATGGCCAGGCTGACCTCTCCCTCAGAGCTTTTTTATTCTTGAGCAAGTGGTGGACATAAGGAACAAGGCCAGTGGAGAAGTGATTTTGTCACTGAGGCAGCAGCAGCATCCAGTGTACACAATCAGCTGTGGCAGAGTTTAAGCCACCAGGAAGATCCAAAGTGTGATTTTGACTGTGGTCTTATAGGCTCTCTGGGTTCCAGCCTCTCTTCTACACTTGGCTCTTTGCTTTCCTGGCAATTCTTTGAACCACCCAATATCCTTTCATCAACTATTTATTTTGGCCAGGATGATTTTTCATGCTATGTACTGCATGAGAGAAATTTGAGGACTATTTCCTTTCATGTACAGAAGAATAAAAACATAGGAGGCACCTAACATTTGTGGGTTTCCTATTAGGTTCTAGGCAAAGATCCACATGTTTTACAAGCCTTCTCATATAACCCTAAAGAGAGAACTTAGGCCCAGAGCATTTAACTAACTTCTCTAAGATCAGGTAGCTAGTAAGTGGCAGAGCTAGGATTTGAATCTGACTCTAAAGCATATACTTTTTGCACCATAAAAAGAACACATGGTGCATGGGCTTGGTGCGGCAGCTCACACCTGTAATCCCAGCACTTTGGGAAGCCAGGCAGGCAGATCACCTGAGATCAGGATTTCAAGACCCCTTCTCTACTAAAAACACAAAAATTAGCTGGGTGTGATGGCACGCACCTGTAATCCCAGCTACTCAGGAGGCTGAGACAGGAGAATCACTTGAATCCAGGAGGTGGAGGTTGCAGTGAGCTGAGATCGTGCCACTATACTCCAGCCTGGCAAAAGAGCAAGACTCTGTCTCAAAAAAAAAAGGAAAAGAAAAAGAAAAAACATCTACACCAGAAGGTTGAGATGATGATATGTTTGTATTATGCTCTGCCATTTATTGCATGTATGTATGTGTGCCACACACAGTGCACAAAACAGCTTGAATAGTGTTTATTATCTAAGGGCACGTAACAGAGGCATTTTAGCCAGGTGCAGTGGCTCACGCCTGTAATCTCAGCACTTCGGGAGGCTGAGGTGGGCAGATCATTTGAGCTTAGGAGTTTGACCAGATTGAGTAACATGGTGAAACCCAATCTTTACAAAAATACAAAAATTAGCCAGATGTGGTTGTGCATTCCTGTAGTCTTAGCTACTCAGGAGGCTGAGGTGAGAGGATCACT